GTTCATTGAGGAAAAGGCTATCAGTGGCTACTAGCTTTGCCTCCAAGCAGCAATGCCTTTCAATATCAGATACTAGGAAACCACAAGAGGGGAGAGTGCTCTTGTGCTCAGGTCCTGCTTGTGGGCGAGAATAGGATGCTGGTATGATTTATATGGTTAGATGGACCTTTGCCCGATCCAGCTGGCTCTTCTTATGCTCTTATTTTACTGGTTGACACCAAGCGTGATGTACCTAGCAATTACTGTGCCCTAGGTGAGGGGTAAGGAAACTGTATCTCTCCAGAGGTTGCTTGACTACAGCTCCCATCTTCCCTTATCATTAGCCATGGTGGCTGGAGCTGATGTGAACTGGAAGTCCAACAACATTCAGAGGCCCACAGGTATGCCAACCTAGGGCCCATGTTATATGTACATGTCAGTCTGTACTTTTTTAAAAAGTCATTCCAATGGGCAGATATTACATCTGATTCAACCTTAAAAGTAAAGGTAAAGGGACCCCTGACCATTAGGTCCAGTCGTGACCGACTCTGGGGTTGCGGCGCTCATCTCGCTTTCCTGGCCGAGGGAGCCAGCGTACAGCTTCCGGGTCATGTGGCCAGCATGACTAAGCCGCTTCTGGCGAACCAGAGCAGCGCACGGAAATGCCGTTTACCTTCCTGCTGGAGTGGCACCTATTTATCTACTTGCACTTTGAGGTGCTTTCGAACTACTAGGTTGGCAGGAGCAGGGACAGAACAATGGGAGCTCACCCCATCATGGAGATTCGAACCACCAACCTTCTGATCAGCAAGTCCTAGGCTCTGTGGTTTAACCCACAGTGCCATCCGCATCCCGATTCAACCTTAAGCCACATCTAATTCAGACAATTTGTTCCACCATAACCGTTCCCTGACCTTCCATTCCCCCCACACCAATAAATTTACTTCCTGCATGGTTTAAGCTTAAAACTCTTTTATTTCTCACCTCTGACACATGCCATATGCATTTAAAAATAAATCCATCTGTTGTTTTTGCTTTAATTCCAAGTACACCACAGCTGCAGGCTGCAATCTACATTTGTGCTATATGTTGACTTCAACAGCACTAGTACTACACAGAGCTGTTTACCCAAAACTACTTCAAGTTTCCTAAATATTTTCCCAAGAGGTGCCAGCCAGTCTCTTCTTCTAAGCTTTAGCATTGCGTCATTGCAAGCATTACTACGCCATTGTGGTAATGCATGATTCTGGCTGGCAAACAATCATAGGCAGATTTATAGCCTGAGGAAGAGAAAAACAACCAGGGCACCCACAAACACTAAAGTATTTGCAGGAAGCTCTTCGCAGAGAACAATGAGGAAGGGAGACACACTCTTCCTGGCATCTCAGATTTCACTGGGTAGCTACTGCTGCTCCTTTTGTGAAAGAGACACTAGATGTCTGCAGGACAGCAATTCATTCATTGCTGGGGAGCCTATGAGGTTACAACTTCCTGCCATAGGCATTCCAGAGGCAGGGATTCATTGTTCAGTATCAGGTACCTTTGAGAAGATATGGGATAACCCCAGAGAATAGCAACATGAAGCAGCTTGAATTGGGCCTGGAAATGAACAGCAAACAGACCAAAGCTGTGACTTAGGTTCATCTTGAATTACCTAAATAACACATCTGAAGTACATGACCCTTAACAGATGCAATTCCCTAGCATCTCTAAGTATGAGTGCACATGGAAAGCTCTTAATACAACATGGTTTACTGAATTTTGTTGTTGTTAATTAAGAAGATAAGAAGAGCCTGCTGGGTCAGGACTCATCTAGTTCAGCATCCTCTTCTCACACTGGCCACCTGGATGCCTCTGAGAAACTGACCAACAGATCCCAAGCACAAGAGAACTTTCCCCACCTGTGATTTCCAGCAGCTGGAAATCACAGAAGCATTACTATCTTGGACCATAACCATAATGGCTGCTAGCCACTGATATCTTTATCCATGAACTTATCCAATCCTCTTTTAAATCCACCCAAGATGGTGGTCATCACTGCTTCCTGTGGGGGGGGGGTGAGTTCCATTGCTTAACCATGCAATATATGAAGAGGTGCTTTATTTAACCAGACCTCCATCTGTCAACATTCAGCCTCGTTGGATGTCCAAGTGTTCTATTATTATGAAAGAGGCATAAAACATCTCTCTAGCCAATGATAAATCAACTGCATGTGAATGAACAAACTTGATTTGTTACTGTAATCTCCTTTTCAATGTTAAATGCAAAGGTTGAAACCAAGCACTCACTGTGGCTTCTTTTAATCTTCTAAAGTCAATGTTGAGGTATGCTTTGATTCCATCATACGCACCAGGCAATGTCAGTCCATGGATTAACAGTACGGATAAAACAACGTAAGGCAATGTTGCTGTTATCCATACAACCTATTAAGTTAAGACAAGCAACAAAAACAATTGATCTGTCTCTTGAATGGCAAAGACAGCATTACTACTGCAATAATAATAACAACAATAATAATTTATTACTTATACACCACCCATCTGGCCAGGCCTCCCCAGCCACTCTGGGTGGCTCCCAACAGAATACTAAAAGCACAATAAAACATCAAACATTAAAAACTCCCCTAAACATGGCTGCCTTCAGATGTTTTCTAAAAGTTAGATAGTTGTTTATTTCCTGGACATCTGATGGGAGGGCGTTCCAAGGGATGGATGCCACTACCGAGAAGGCCCTCTGTCTGGTTCCCTGTAACCTCACTTCTCGCAGTGAGGGAACCGCCAGAAGGCCCTTGGGAGCTGGACCTCACTGTCTGGGCTGAATGATGGGGGTGGAGACGCTCCTCTCTCTTTGACTACTTTTTTCTTTGTTAAAAAAGAAATGCAACCAACCATTTGAACAGCATCTTTCCATTCTAGTGGGGTAGGAAAGCTGGGAGGAAAATTCACATCTGGCAACCAATGTGCTCCTTTGGTTTCAGATAATACATGGGTAGATGAGTCTTAAAAGCCCGAGGCACAAATTTTCATGGCCTTCTAGTGGCTATGGTGGCTCACGTAGCAGTATTTAGCACCAACTCTGGGAGTGTATATTCGATTCTGGCCAAACTAAACCCCCTAGAGCAAAATATACATCGGGACAAGGTTGTCTTGCTCCCCATTCCTTTCTCCCTTCTGCTTTTCATGTATAAAGAAAGATTGAACTAAGCAGAATTTGCCATTAAGTCTAAATGCAGGAAATTGTGGCTTGATTTAACTGTGGTTACATAAAACAAACCTCAATCAAACCATGTTCAGTCTCTGGCACCTAATCAAGGGAGGCTATGGAAGTCTGAACAGGTATCTGGATATAGCCTGGGTAATTTGGAATGGATGATGAAGCAAATGGATGATGGACAAAGAAGCTGAAACTTAATTGAGACAATACAAAAGTGTGGTGAGTGGGGTAAGGTCAGTCTTAGATGGGTTGAGGCTGTCAGGAGCTAGAGTCAAATGTAGGTCAGCAATCAACCCAGAGTCAGTGAAGTTAACTCTTTATTCCAGAAGCCATAACAGCAACTCTTTCCAGTAGGTTTTGTTCTAACAAGGCAAATGCAGGGACTGATTGATGGTCCCCACCTTCCCTAAGGCTCCTCCCCCCAAGCAGTTGCAAACTGTGCTCCACTCTCTTCATTTTTCTCTGTGTTCTAGGAGACACAAGGGGAAGGGAAGCTGGCCACAGAAGGAGGGGGAGACTCCCTGGCTTCTTCAACAGTCTGCCTCTCTGTCTTCTGGCTCCACTCTCCTCCAGCTTCCGCTTCTGCCTCAGAGTCTGAGCTGCCCTCTGCCATAACCTCTTCCTGCTCACCAACCCTGTTACCTTTTTGGCTTCTGACCTTGGGGGTTCCCCAGCTGGTGCCTCCCACCACAACGCTGCATCCAGCCAGTTCATGACAGGCTCACAGTTTAGGGGGTACTCCACTGCTTGGCATAGCATCAGAGAAGGTAAACAGAAGGTGGAAGCTGCATGAACCACTGTGTGCCTATATGTCTAGAATACAAAGCATGGCTTGAAAGTAGACAGTGTTCTGTGCAAACCATGGTTTGATGTTACATCTGAACCACCAAAACCCTAATAGAAAAGCCCTTTTTAAAGAAAAAATGTATGTATTAGGAAAATATTTGCCAACCTTTCCTGAAGTCTTCACACCTTTCCACAGGCTGAAGAAAACAGTGATCACCACAACCACGAGACACAGTGTGAGCTGCCATTGGGGCAAGCCGATATCATGAATCCCCCGGCTTAGGTGAAGCTGTAGAACTCTCCGCCTAAGCAAAAAGAGGCAGAAGAGGGATTGAGTTAGATCCTTTTGTATGGAAAAACAATCACTAACTGGCTCCACACTTAATTGAAGTGGTGTGACTTGGTTTCAGCAAAGCGTGTCCTCCCTAAAAGAGGGCACATGTTGCAGTGAGACCTGGAAACTGTGGGTGGGTTAAATGGACAGCCACAACACCTGACTGGTAGGTCCCTCGTTGCTGGGTTTAATCTGGCCAATGGGGTGCAGTCTAAACAGATCAAGGGACCTATATATACCTATGCACGTGACCCAGAGCTTCCTCTTTCAGCTCATGCATTGGAACACCCACCCACCTCTCCCTATATTTAGGGTATTTTGTGATTGACCTTGCTATGCCATCGTGCATCGTCTGTCGTTGGGACAGGGGCACGGCAGGAATTTTCCCCACTTGGCTGATTGGCTGTTGCCATTTGGGTTTCGTTTGCCGCATAGCAAATCGTCACAACTTGTAAGGTTGCAGATAGGCACTGGTTCAGGTGATAGGAATGGGAGAACAGTCTCGCCATCCCTATGTGAAGGGTACTCTGTTAAAGGAATCCAGGGACTCAACTTGGTTTGGTCAACCTCCGAGAGCGGGTTGTGCCCATGCCTGAGTCCAGGGGAGCATCTGGGGAGTGGACATAGTCTGTTCCTAGGCTTTCCACCTACCTCAGGTGTTCACCCTTGGCTGACCTATGATAGAGTTCTGGGTCAGCGCTACCTGCAAGGGTGCAGGGAACTAGTCGAACCAGAGCTTATGCAACCACTCACTTTTTGTAATCAATAAAGTTGTGGCCAACTTTCAGCCAAAAACCAAAACTAAAATTTGAGTCAAATGTGTGTTTATTTAGGGGGGAGGTCTCTGGGTCTGAACACACAAACAGTGAACTGTTTGTCAAGATCAGGTCTCATCAAGGGGTCTGAAAAACATAGAAGTAAAAACAAAGAGAAAGTAATACACAGCTTGATGTCAGGACTGGACATCTAGGTTTCCTAGACTGGAGGGGGAGCTCTCCTGCACCCCCCAGGCATATTTTGTCATTCATCTTAAGCAACGATGTAGGCCATGTTCAGCGGTGAGCTAGTAATCAATTTCTGGCAGTTTACTAAGGGATTGTTGCAAAGGACGCTGGACTAGGTGGATCTCTTTTTGCCCCATCAAGGCATTGCTTGTGTCCTTAAGCAAAAATACATACTCAAGTGGGTCACTTTACACAGGTTTTGCCTTAGCTGTGAAAATACCCCGGATGTACACTCTTGCTTTAGAATAGGGGTGTGGAACCTCTGGCCCAGAAGGGTAAATTCATCCCTCCAAGCCCAAGACCCTAAAATGAGCCTCTTGGATCAGGCCCATGACCCATCTAGTCCAGCATCCTTTTCTCATAGTGGAGAGAACTTTTAAAAAAATGAAAGCTAAGAGTTCACCCCTCCCCATGGTATTGCAAATGCTCCCATGAATTTGTTGCCCTGGGCAAAGTGCACCGTTTGTTCTCCCATAAATACATCTCGTGGGACGCGGGTGGCGCTGTGGGTTAAACCAAAGAGCCTAGGACTTGCCGATCAGAAGGTCGGCGGTTCAAATCCCTGTGACGGGGTGAGCTCTCGTTGCTTGGTCCCTGCTCCTGCCAACCTAGCAGTTCAAAAGCACCTCAAAGTGCAAGTAGATCAATAGGTACTGCTCCAGCGGGAAGGTAAACGGCGTTTCTGTGCACTGCTCTGGTTCGCCAGAAGCGGCTTAGTCATGCTGGCCACATGACCTGTAAGCTGTACGCCAGCTCCCTTGGCCAATAAAGCGAGATGAGCGCCGCAACCCTAGAGTCGGTCATGACTGGACCTAATGGTCAGGGGTCCCTTTACCTTTAAATACATCTCATTTCCCCTCCCAGAGCTACAATACTAGAGTGATTTAAACAGTCAATCCCTCTTGCCAGGGGACTCTGGAAATGGTAGCTTGGTGAGGCAAATAGAGGGTTAGGATTGTAGTTTGTAGTGCTCTGGGGGGAAATAGGGGTCTCATTACAACTCTCAGCAGCCTTAGAAAATTACATTTCCCAGGATTCGGGGGGGGGCATGGCTGTTTAATGGAGTATGATACAGCTTTATATACATGGTATAGATGGAGCCTTAGAGACCTCTGACAAAAAGAAAAGAAAAAAGATTATGGTCATTAGGGATACAAACTAAACCCAAGACCCTTAGATTGCCCTCTATTGTGGATTCAATTTTTCCTTTGTGACTTGTATTGAAAGTCCACACTTTATGTCGTCGTTAAAAGGACATGAAGCCTAAACAGGAAACAGAATTTAAAAGAATGTGAAATGCCTTGATGAGATGTGCCCACTTTGTTTTTCAATCTTGGTCTTTAAGATGGAGCCAGAAAAAACAAACACCCTACTCTTAAACACATGACGTAGAAACCATATCTCTATAGATATTGTTCAGAGATTTTCTCCTCTCCTGGGGGAAAACTCAGCAAAATAATTCCCCAGTTTTCAACACCCACAAATTTGCATGTGGAAAATAACAGGTTCAAACCCTCTCATGCAGCTGTTTCAAGCTTAAGATATTGCTGAAGGGAATTGCTTTCAGAGTAATGAAGCTGAGGCATGCTGGGACAGAGAGGCAATGGGGACACATTTTTCAAAAATAGATCCCAGAAGTTATCTCAAAACTGTCTCTATAGAACAGTGATTAGGGACATAGCTCAGTGGTAAAACATCTGATTGGATGCAGAAGGTGCATCTCCAGGTAGAGATGGGAGAGACACCTGGAGAAACCCTGGAGAGCCGCTGCCAATGGACTGACCAGGTATAATGATGCCTCCTATGTTTTCATGGACCAATTGCATGTGAGTTTTGGTATGCACAGCTGTATATATGAACAGTGGCGTAGCGTGGGGGGTGCAGGGGGGGCCGGCTGCACCAGGCGCAACATCTGGGGTTAGGGCAAATCCACAGGTTAGGGGGCACAAATCCACGGGTTAGGGGGCGCAAATTACTTGCCTTGCCCCGGGTGCTGACAACCCACGCTACGCCGCTGTATATGAAGACTTCCACTTCGAAGTCGTTTCTGTCAGCACATGGATTCAGGGGCACAGCCTAACAGCTGTGAGTCAGACTATAAAAGTGTCCCTCCAAACTTCTGATTTAAAAAAAAATATTTTTATTAAATTTTGTCCATATAACCCAAATAACAAAACAGAACTTCATGAGACAAACACATAAAAACCAAACCAAACCAAACCAAGGTTAATGTGGGATGTTACATTTGCAAGAAGAAAATGATAAAGCTGTTCTTGGTTGTTTTTATCTACAGCACAGCCTTCCCCATTTCCCCCGTGCCCTAGATCATGCCTTCATTCCTTTTCATATCTTTAGGCACAAGGCAAAAACATTCCACTTCCCTAAGGCGTTCAGCTAATTAAACAATCTATGGCCTTTTAAACTGTGTGAAGGTTATTGTGTGTTACTATAGTATGTATGGGAGAAAGGCGATGGCAAACCTAGACAGCATCTTAAAAAGCAGAGACATCACCTTGCCAACAAAGGTCCGTATAGTTAAAGCCATGGTTTTTCCAGTAGTGATGTATGGAAGTGAGAGCTGGACCATAAAGGCGGATCGCCGAAGAATTGATGCTTTTGAATTATGGTGCTGGAGGAGACTCTTGAGAGTCCCAAGGACTGTAAGATGATCAAATGTATCCATTCTTAAGGAAATCAGCCCTGAGTGCTCACTGGAAGGACAGATCGTGAAGCTGAGGCTCCAATACTTTGGCCACCTCATGAGAAGATACCCTGGAAAAGACCCTGATGTTGGGAAAGATGGAGGGCACAAGGAGAAGGGGACGACAGAGGTTGAGATGGTTGGACAGTGTTCTCGAAGCTACCAACATGAGTCTGACCAAACTGCGGGAGGCAGTGGAAGACAGGAGTGCCTGGCGTGCTCTGGTCCATGGGGTCACGAAGAGTCGGACACGACTAAACGACTAAACAACATAGTATGTATTCTTGTGTTGTTATATTGTAAACCTCCCTGTGATCCTCAGATGAAGGGCGGTATATAAATTTAATTAATTAAACAACAACAACAACAACAACAACAACAACAACAACTAATGGCAAAACCATTATGAACATTCATTAGACCTCTGACCCTCCAGATGTCGTCAGACACCAACTCCCATCAGCCCCAGCCAGCATGGCCAACGGTTAGGGAAGATGGAAGTTGTAGTCCAGTAACATCTGAAAGGTGCTAGATTAGAGATGGTAGGAGAAAATAGCTGCTTTTATTTTTATTATTTGTTTTTAGTATTATGTGGCATTTGATTATGCCTGTTGAAGCTTATCAAAATAATGAAGGGAAATGGTTAAAGATTTAAAGGTAATAAATGATCCCATGGTTCTAAAACTGGTCAATGTATTTGTTTGTCTTCTAAAAAGAAAACACATTAATACTACAATGCGAAACAGATTGTTAAACAAATAAACTTTGCTGAGAGGGAAATTGCTCCATCCCTGTGTTGTGAGGCCAACTTGAGTAAGGAGCACCACTTTCCGGACTTCTCTCTTGCATTATCTTTTTGATACAACTATAGAGGAAATAATAGAAAACACTACACGTCTATTTCCACTTCCACTGCCATAATTACTGCCTAGATCAAATAATAGAGACCTATGGGTGTGGGTGTTGCAATAGACAGCCACTTAGTATTTTACATTGTGCCTTGGGTAGTTACAATCATGAATTCTGTGCCATTTAATAACACAGACCGAAAGGGGCTCAAAGATAATGAAACTGAAGCATCCACTAGGTCCCACAGATGTGTCAGCAGCAATCCACAAACAGTGGTATCAATGGCTACAAGAGGATCTGAATCGTCAATTGCTCCATCCTGAATACAGCATTCAGACTCAGGAAACTTATTTCCATTGTTGAGTGGGTTCAGGGGAACAAAGGGACACAGGAAGCTGACTCATACTCAGTCAAACTATTGGTTCTTCTAGCTCAGTGTTTCCCAAACGTTTTTGGGCAACGGCACACCTGTGTACTGAAAAAAAATCTCGCGGCACACCACCATTAAAGCCCCGCCCCGTGACGTCAGCGCGCAGCGTCACGCTGGGAGGGACGCACAAAAGTGAAAGTTTTTTCCCTCCCCCTTGCTGGGGAACCTCCAAGCTTTGGGGGTGGGAGGAGGCAGCAGAGCGAGGGACTGAGGGACGGCAGCAACTGAGGCGGCGGCGGCTGAGGCAGAGCTGGGAAGGGGGTTTCCAGGGGACACGGCAGCTCCTCGAAAGGCTTCTCTCAGCTGCGCTCAATCCGCCTCGGAGAGGATTTCCCCTCCGGTCCCATGCGTTCGTTTGGGGCATCGCTCCGGCTGCTCCCTCTCCCGCCGCGCAGGAGCGATGCCTCTCTCTGGCTCTCCCTCCGCGCAGGCTGAGGGAGGGAGGGAGGGGCGCGTGTGACCCGTCTCTGCTGGGAGACCAAACCCAGCGAGGCAGAGTCGCGCGGAGGCGCCCAGGCAGCGCTGCCGGCTGCGAGGAGGAGCGCCAGGCAGCAGCAGGAGGCGCGGCCTCTCCTCGCCGCCGCCGCCCCGCCTCTCGCCGCCCGACTCGCCCGCCTCCTTCCAGGCATCTCGCGGCACACGAGGCAACGTCTCACGGCACACTCGTGTGCCGCGGAACACCGGTTGGGAAACACTGTTCTAGCTCAGTATTGACTGGCAGCAGCTCTCAAAGTTTGCAGATAGGGTTCTCTTCCAGCCCTTCCAGGAGATATCAGGGGTTTAACTTGCCCCCTGGTTACTTTTTTCTCCCCTGAAAAGTAGATTGAGGAGACGGAGGATGGAAGAAGGGTACTCTTTCCCACTTCCACTTTCATCTCTATGTGCTTTTCAAGGTTCAGGTTAATTCTATTAGATAGAACTTTTATCCAGATCTCTTGAAAGCAAAGTTTGTGTACAGGTGCAATCATGCTTCTTGTCCCCAGGAAAAGCGGCTGATCTGGGGCAGAGGAAAAATAAGTGGATAGAGGTAGTGGTGTCCACAATACTCACTCAAAAATACGCAAGTGCTCCCATGCCAAAAAATGATTGGTGGGGCATGACTTAGGCTCCCTTCAGATTAGTGGAGAGGTTGGCAACAAGTCATTGATGCAATAAGAGTACATTTAATGGTAGAGTAATGCTGGACGTGGGTGGCACTGTGGTGTAAACCACTGAGCCTAGGGCTTGCCGATCGGAAGGTCGGCAGTTCAAATCCCCGCAACAGGGTGAGCTCCCGTTGTTCGGTCCCAGCTCCTGCCAACCTAGCAGTTCGAAAGCACATCAACATGCAAGTAGATAAATAGGTACCGCTCTGGCGGGAAGGTAAACAGTGTTTCTGTGCACTGCTCTGATTTCACCAGAAGCGGCTTAGTCATGCTGGCCACATGACCTGGAAAAACTGTCTGTGGACAAACGCTGGTTTCTCGGCCAGTAAAGCGAGATGAGCGCTACAACCCCAGAGTTGTTCGCGACTGGACTTAACTGTCAGGGGTCCTTTACTTTTTTTAAAAATGCTGAATTGCCCACATATCAGTCAGCTTTATTAGTCTTCCTGTGATGTTTCCTGAATGTTACAACGTTATTGTTGCCTTGAGCTACAAAAGTGGGGAAAATGCACAAACCCAGGACAACTGTGGTATAAAAAGTTGCAGGGTTTGAGCAGGAAGCTACAGGGCATGCACCAATTGTAAATGAAGCAGCTTGGCCATCCCAAATTTTAGCAGGTTCAAATGATAATGAAAGTGAGATTGTGTAAAAAAAGGGAGATTGTGTATAACTATTGTGATGACCAGTGCTCCCCCCCAGGGTACTCAAGGGTACACAGTACCGGCACCTTTTTTTGGGGGGGGGGGTGTCGTTAAAAAGTATGACACTTACTGTAACAACTTCATGCTGAATACTGGCACCTATTTCTCTAGAAAAAAAGCACTGGTGACAACCATCATGAGCACAAATCATCATGAATGCATATTTAAAGGGATGTCAGAAGAGGCCCTTAAATACATCCCAGAGAAACTGCAAACTGTTTTCCAAAAGTGAAAGCCACAAGGAGCCCCAAACTTACTCATAAAATTCAGCTGCAGGAGTTATCTTGTACTTGGAATAAGTGGTTCCAGCGGCAAATGTTGAGGCATTGATGAGTTTGGGGTCTATGCAGTTGGGGCTGTTCCAGGGGTTGCCACACTTCGTCCAGGGAAGCTCCTCCAGTGTGAAGGATGCAAACAGATAATACAGAGACCAAGCTATGATAACGTTGTAGTAGAAACCCACGTATAGAGCTATGAGTATCACAGCATAGCCTACACCTGAAGACAAAGGAAAACCAGATTACACATGAAGCTGTAAGTCACATTAGGTTCATCTTCCTAGTGAGGGCTGGAAGAGAGTGGTATTGCTCATCACCCCAACCAACTATTTGCCAAATATTATTAACAATAATAATTTCACACCAAGGCGTTTACTTGGTGCTGGGAAGCAAGATCGGCTTTCATTCAGGGAGGGGTACATAGGCTGGTCAATCAAGGCACAGCCTTTGTGTTTCCCTGCTTTGTTGTATTTCTGACCATATGGATGCCAAATTTAATTAAGAAATTGAGTTGGAAGGGATCTTGAAAGTAATCAAGTCCAGCCCTCTGCTCAAAGCAGGATCTGCAATGCAGGGTGCAACTGCAGAATCCCTGAGAGATGACTTGTCCAGTCTCTGCTTAAATACCTACAGCAGAAAACCGAGAGCCTTTTACTTGAAAGGTAGGGGAGAAATCACCATAATTAAAACAAGCAACCCAAATACTTATGCTAATTACAAAAAAAGCTAACATATTGTGAAAACATGTAAATTAACTTTTTAAGGAAAGTGCAGTGAATTATTGTAAACTGTAAATGCAAATAATTCATAGCATAGTTCTTCTCTTGGGTTTTTACAGCAGGGTCATGTTTTGCACTTATTATTATTATTATTAAATATACAAAAATTCCAATAGTAGAAAGTAATAGCAACATTTGAAAGGCTCTTGCAAAGGTAATCTGTGACCTGTATGTTGAAATATTTGACAGCATTTAACAGTAGTGAAACAAACAGGCATAAACTGATGATCTGACTGGTCAATTGATTGGCTTGTCAATCCTAGCAAAAATGTGTACAAAAGTAGTGTAAACCCAAACTGAAAATCCAGAATAGCACCCGTGGGGTATATTATTCTAGCATGTCATTAGAGTAAATTTGAGAAGCAAATCTGGACACAGCCTGCTATTTACAACAGCTGGGTGACACCCAAGTGGTTGAAGGCAGCCTTCTTATCCCAACATTTGAATGAATACTTCCACAGTGATTGCAGGGTACGCTCCTGGTGCCAAACACGGCGGGCTCACATCATTACCACCAAGTCCCAGATTTTACAGCACTACCATTTATAGCTAATATTAGCCTGTTGTGTTTAATGTCTGTTTGCTTTCTGGTCCAAAGGGTCTTTCCAGGTGCAGCAAACTAAAATTAGCCAACTTCTCTCTCTCCCTCCCCCTCCCCATTAGAAGTGTTTTTAACTAATTAGGAATAAACTGTTGGCTTATCATCACTACTAAAGATTCAAATTCATGAAAAACCATGAAAATGAGAGCTCTGGAGCAGTTTGCAGCCCATGACACCCAAAGCTAGAGCTTTGAACTGGGCTCTGTCCAAGGCTTCCCCGCTACCAGCATTTCATCAACAGCTACATTTTTACTTTGGGTCCAAATGTACTAGAGTTTAAATGGCAACACACAGAGATCCACCATGGCTGTTCCTATTGTTCAGGTGAGGCAGGCAACACCAGACTGCTAACTTGGGGGTGTTGTGGAAAAAAAACCAGAAAACTGAGAGTGAGTCAGTGAGACAAAATTCTCATGGGGGAAGTTCTAGATTAAAAATGAGGCAGGTGGGAAAAGATGGCAGAAAGACGAGTGACCCTGATTCCCTACCCTTTCAGGTAGATAAACAACTACCTGACATTTAGAAGACATCTGAAGGCAGCCCTGTTCAGGGAAGTTTTTAATGTGTGACATTTTAATGTATTTTTAATCTTTGTTGGAAGCCACCCAGAGTGGCTAAGGAAACCCAGCCAGATGGGCAGGGTACAAATAAATTATTATTATTATTATTATTATTATTATTATTATTATTATTATTATTATCATCATCATCATTATCAGAGGCAGTTTTAGGGCAGCCTGGCCATTTCCCCTGCACTGGGTACTGAGTAGATAGAAGCACTTGCCCGGCTATGGGAAAGAAGCTTGAGGTCTCTGGCAGGGGCCTAGAGTCCTCTCACCTCCTTCACCAAGCTTAGTTACCACTTTCCCAGCTTTGGGAAGGAGGAGGGAAGCCTCTAGGATCCTGCCAGAGCCTCCCACCTCCTTTCCAAAGCCTGGCACTGCATGAGGGCTGCAGGGGTGGTGCACCAAATTTTGGCCTAGCTCAGGGTGAGGTTGCACCAGACTCCACTCCTGTTGTTGGTTTCACTTTTGCTAGCAGTTTTGCAACGGTGGCAGCAAAAGAACAGAGGAGCCTCCTGGATGAGACCAATGTGCCGTCTAATCCAGCATCCTTATAATAATTCACTACAGTTTTATTAAAGACTCGTTTGTTTTGGAGATTCATGCAGACCTGTTGATGAGCATGGCATCTTTTTGTTGTTAGTAAGGTGGATGCTTTTGGGCAGGGATAGTTCATCAGCATTTGCCCAGATATTTTTAGACTTGTCAAATAGCTAACACTTTCCCTGGAGGAACCTTTTTAAAAATCTCCTATATATCGTCATGCAAAATGGTGTCTATCTTCCTGCTATATCTGCTTTCACCAACTTGGTGCCCTCCAGATGTTTGGGAATACAACTCCTGTCAGCCTCGGCCAGTGCACCATTGCTGGCTGGGGCTGATGGAAATTGTAGTGCAAAAACATCTGGAAGGCACCAAGTTACTGAAGGCTGCCCTAAAGTCTATTTTTTTGCTGATGAGCAATAAAGGCATTAGTGACAAGTGACTCTCAAAATACAGATGTTAGCTATTCTGGCCTTGCCAAAAACTTTCAATGCAAGCCTCGGAGATGCGTTCAATATCAAGAAACTCCAGAAGATATTGCAAATATATTAAGCAGAAAGCCTGGGATTTACCTTTAAAAAGTGGACAGATTTTCCATACGGTGGCAGCCCCTTCTCTGTTATACTGGCCCAAAGCTAGTTCCATGTAGAACAAGGGCATCCCAGCAATGACGAGGAAGAGTATGTAAGGTATGAGGAAGGCACCTGGAAACAGAAGCACCAAGACAGAGATCAACCAAGCTCCAACTCTACAATTCTATGCTTCTAATTATGCGACCCATTTCAACCCAGTCAGGCAATGCTTCCTGGGCTGAATCTAGACATATATAAAAAAGCACTATGAAAATGCTCTTTTAAAAGAAAGTTTTAAAATATATGTTGAATTTGCCATTAGCTCACCATCGTCATCTAGTGACTCGTTTGTATAATAATGCACTTAAAGGTAAAGGAACCCCTGACCATTAGGTCCAGTCATGGCCGACCCTGGGGTTGCGGCGCTCACCTCGCTTTACTGGCCAAGGGAGCCGGCGTACAGCTTCCGGGTCATGTGGCCAGCATGACTAAGCCGCTTCTGGCGAACCAGAGCAGCGCACGGAAACACTATTTACCTTCCCGCTGGAGCAGTACCTATTTATCTACTTGCACTTTTGTGCTTTCGAACTGCTAGGTTGGCAGGAGCAGGGACCGAGCAACAGGAGCTCCCCCCATCGCGGGATTCGAACCGCTGACCTTCTGATCGGCAAGTCCTAGGCTCTGTGGCTTAACCCACAGCGCCACCCACGCCCCTTAATAATGCACTTAAAACACACTTAAAATGTTGTTTGCAGCTGTACAGCTGAGTCCCTGGATTCCCTTCCTGCATCCCACACCATTTTCCACTGCAGACACAGAACCTCGCATTGTCTCCCTCCCCCCCAACTTTTCAACTGCCCATTTGCTAAGCTTTGTGTGGCTGGACAGTGTTCAATGCACTGAGCAACATTCCAGATGTGTGATATAATATAATGTTTTAATGTGTGTGTGTGTGTGTGTGTGTGTGTGTACAGCAATAGCTACAACACTTGGCTGAGTAAATCCATCTCCGCGATACAGTCTCTCTGGGAAAGCAAATGCATTCTCTCATCAGGACACGGCTAATTTAAATATCAAAGTGTAACAAGCGTTAATGGGGGATGTTCAAGATCAAATAAAATAAGAATCAGGCAGATTGCATGCATCCATTTGGGGAGTTGACAGACACTGCGGTACAAAACAAAGAAGCCCAACAACAACAACTCCCACCCCAAGGCCCCTCTGAGATACTGGTAACCAGAGGATTGGTATTTCAAAAGAGCATCTTCCAAAAATCTTTTCTGTCACACTATATATAAGCTCAGAACAATACCATGCCTGGCAACCCTGAAATCACTGGTTAAGAGTTTGCTTTTAACTGCTTTTATAATGCTTAATATATATTGCTATTATTGCTATTATTGCTATTATTATTATTGATAGGTTTGGTGGCCTGGTAACCTTCTGGAGCAAGGGTGGGGCATAGCTGTTTTAAATTGCTTTTATGTAGTGTTTTAATGCTGTAAACCCACCCTGAGACTTTAGGGCGAAGGAAGGTAATCAATAAATTAATGATAGACTGAATAAATAAATCAGTGTAAAGAATACACCCACTTAAGAGATTTTTAACATATTAAAGCAGTCAAGCAATGCTTTTAAACAAATAAATTAAAATATGCAAGACATGATCTGATGTGAACAAAGATCAGTCATTTTGGATTCCACCAAATTTTGCATATAAATCCCTTTAAGACTGGATTGCTACTTTAAAGTGTCCAACACTTCAGCTGTAGCAACTGCCGGAGAGAGGCAGCGTCAAGTGTTGGATTTGCAAAGGCCTTTCTTTCTTTCTTTCTTTCTTTCTTGAAGTCAGATCTTCAAAATGTTTTAATACTTTCTTTTTTTAGCTCACTCCTCCTTGATTGTCAGAGTGCAAAAAAACCAAATAAGCAAACAAGCTTCCAGACAACCATTCTGAAAGGAGCACATTCTGGAGAGGAAAGCGAAAATAGCTTCTTAGAAAAGGGTCAAGAGGGGCAAGAGAGGAGAAGGATCACTGAGAGCCACTGCACACTAAGGTGAAGAAAAGTGCTTTAAAACATCTGAAATAAGCTACGTGTGTCTTTCAAGAGGATTAATGCAGAAGCCAATAGGAGGTAGATGATTGAAAATTCTGCCCAGAGCAGGATCAAACAAAAAACACGAGCGTCTCAAGATTACACTTAAGGCTCTTATCACTGTGCCACAATCAACTGTGTTTTAATTCACAAGTGGTGTTTCTGCAGCCAAGCAACTGAAGCAGAAAGTGCCTCTACCTTCCAAGGTTGTAGCAGGAGAAGGGTTGTCACACAGCTCAATGGTAGAGAATCTGCTTTTCATGCAGAAGCTCACAAGATCGATCACGGGCATCTTCAGGTTGGACTGGGGGGGAGACTCAGCCTGAAACCCTGGACAGCCCCTGCTCTAGTTAGCATTGACATCATAGAAGCAGAAGGCTCAATAGTGTGGCTCAGTACAGGATGACTTCCTATGTTCCCTGTGGCTAAGGTAAGGTTACCAGATGTCTCCGTTTCCTGGGGACAGTCCCCCAGGAAACAGGGGACAGGGGACAGTCCCCGGATTTACAAATCAGTCCCCATACAAAATCCATTGAAGTTGAAAAGTGTCCCTGGATTCATTGAAAAAAATCTGGTAACCTTAGGCTAAGGGCAGTACTTTCTTTGAGCCAGAACACACTGGAGCGCAGTCCTGGCACCTTTTCTCTCCCCCCCCCCGCAAAAAAGAAGTGCACTATATATACATATGTAAAAAAATCTATCTCTGCCTGTCCCTTCAGCAGCCTTTCCAAGAGATTTGAAGCTCCGCTGCCACTGCTGTCTGAGTTTTCCACCCACCGCCTCATTTGGCTTTACTGCCACCTCCCTCCCTCCTTATTTATTATGGTTTGGTTTTCTACCCAAGAGGTACTTGTGAGATTTTTCTGCTCTAGGTTAAATCATCCCCTTGTCCTCCTCTCCACCCCCCCCACTTCCCCTGCTTTCTCTATCTCCCCCTCACTCCCAACTCCCCTTCTCCCCCCCCCCGGAGGCTGGTTGGGTCTGACTTGGTGGCCCCTGCCCACTCTCTCTGCCTGCTTCTCCTCCCATCAAGAAACCTGCCGCCACCACCACGATCAAATATGGATCACTGTGACCACAGCAGCAGCCCGCCATGGAAGGGGCTAAGAGCAGGGGGGTAAGAGCGAGGCAGGAGCAAGGCAGGGGAGAGGGGGCAGTTCTAGAGCCTTTTTTTCTATAAAAAAGCGCTGGCACTTCACCAAGCAATATGTGAAGGAGTACTACCTTAGTCCATTGTCAGTCTGCGAATTCCCCAATCGGTTTCTAACTAGAGAAAAATAAAAACTTCCATGTCATGGCGCAATTTCATACACCTCTATCACGCCCCACCCTTTCCCCCTCAATTATAAATGCCCCAAATGCTGCAGCCCTTTCCCAGAGGACCATTTTCCCACTCCTGTCAATGACAAAGTGAGTGCTTGCATCATAACACAGATAAAGAGCCTGTGGCCCTCCAGAGTCATGTTGATGTTGCTTCAGCAAGCACCAGCCTTAGACTATGCCTTACGCAGAGGCAGCAGGTCTTAGAGGACTCTGAGCAAGAAAAGCATTTGCACGGAATGCAGGCCCTAGAATACATTGGCAAGATGAGCCCATGGTACCAGTGCCCCTCTGGAACAAGGACGCCACGTTGCTGCCCCTCAAATGCATCTCCTAGTGGTACAGCAATAAAACTGCTAGTGCATTTGCAGTGTCTGGAATGGTTTCAAACTGGACGGGAGCCATTGCAGAAGCCTCGGTTCAAGTCTCCCTGACACTGTCTAAGTAAGTGATGGCTGAAACAGGATGCATCCCTTAAACTGAAGAGTCACAACATACACATTTTTGTAAAGCCATCCCCCCAATAGAATGCATTTTTGTATATTCACTTACATATGCATTTGTATGCAGACTTTACCCTACTTTATCCGTTTTCTGAACACATGACTTGACTAGAGAAATGCATTGCCATATTCCGAAAACTGAATTTCAAAAGATAACTGTCTTTCATTATGCGTATTGTCATGGAAAGTGCAAAATAGGGAGGTCCACCTTTAAAGGCAAACTAAATCAAATTTCTCCCATATTCTTGACCTGAGAAATCACTTTACCTATATATCTCCACTCAGCCACTTCCACATTTCTAAAAACACCATATGGCAGCATCCACACCCCGAAACTCATTGTACTCTTTTCTGCACCTGCTAAACCATTTTTGTTTAGGCAAGTCTCTCCAGACATGTGAAACTCTAGCAGACACGCACTTTAGTCTGGTTTTTAGCTTATCGTTGATTTCAATCTTTTTGGAATGGTTAAAGTCATTTTTAAAGCAACCCATGAAGCTCTGGCAGATACACAACCAGAGATCATAATGGATCTCAAGTACAGATAAAGAGATAAAGTTCAAAGATGGGAGCTTCAAGGTGTCCCTCAGTTTTGATCTGTGGCAACAGTGAACCTCTTTGGACACCCACCTTAAGGTGCTCATAGGAAGGTTTACACAGCCGTGCAACTAATGATCTCAGTGTAATATTTCAGTTCCTTCAGCCACGGCTGACCTCTCCACCCCCAGGAAGAGCTGTGATTCCCGATGTTGGCAAAAAAAGTCCTGCAGAGATGCAAATCGCATCCAGCTGCTCCCTTTTGATCCTGCAATCTCTTCCGAATGCTTTGACAGAGCACTTCCTACCCTTGTTATTCCAAACCACATGACTGTTATTTGACATCAAAGTGTTCATTTACAAGTCTTATCCTGAAAAGCTCAAGTGTGCAAGATGAGACACTGTAAGGGAGAAATTATACCCCGCTACCGCCACCCTGCACACACACTTTCACATCTTGTAACAGTGCTCATAAACCTCAGGTTTTTGTTTTTGTTTAAATAGTCTGTTTCTCTTCCAAATTAAACATACATAGTGCTCTGTAAAGGTGGAAATTCTGCTTTCCAGATTTCACAGCCTTTTAAGAAATAGTTCTCGCTCTGCAATTTCATCCAGAGGGGAGCGGGTGCTTGTTACAACAATATGTAAAGTATAAAATGATACAACAGAAAATGAACTTTAACTGAATCTGTTCTTCTCTGCATACAAAGCAGGTATCCATTCTCTGAATGATACAAAAATTGTTCACTGGATAAAAGAAGCATCCATGCTGCTTATGAAAACAAAGCATTCTGCATAGCTCCAAACTTCGCAGGTGTTTACTTCAGCAGAAGCTACTCCAAATAAAACAACAACAAAAACAAACACCAGGTCAGATCTGCTGTCCTTTATGTCTGGAGGAGCAGCCACAGGTCTAGTGACTCAGTTTAGCTCTGTGTTGGTTGAAGAAGAGCTTTCTTTTATCCCTCCTGAATCTTCCAACATTCAGCTTCATTGCATGTCCATGAGCTCTAGTGCTATGAGAGAGGAACTTTTCTCTATCCAGTTTTACCACAATACATCTACCATATCACCTCTTCTTGTCTTTTCTCTAAACTAAAAAGTCTCAAATGTTGCAACCTTTTTAAACCTGGGTCTCTCTGGGCCCCTCTCTGAAAGGGCTAGAGAGTCACACTTGTTGCTCTGCCTACGTATTACTTCTGGCCCTGCCCACCTTTGGGCTCCAGCCCCACCTATCATTGGCATTCAGTCCTCAGAAAGTTACGGTACTTCTGAGGGAAAGGGAAAAGGCTCCACATCCCTGTTTTTACTCTGAAAGTAATACAGAACCAAAAGCTGAAGAGAACTCCAATCTCAAGTTTGCTAATTGGATTGTGTTTATTCACAAACCTATTATCCACATTTCTTCTATCATGGCTTTCCCAAGTAGCCTCAGACACAGAACAAGACCTGCTTAGCTTCAGCACAGGAGTTGCATCATTTGCCTTGAACCGAAGGCTGAAATTCAGCTGTACGGGATCAGGGAGAATTCATTCTGTGGTACACGTGAAGATCTGACCAGCTAAATATGATGCACAGGTGATTTACTCTAGATGGCTGGTGTTTAAAATTGGTGCTCAGCAGATTTGTCCTTTTCCCAGCTGTAAAGTACATGTTTACGATTCCAGAGAGGACTTTCTCAAACTGGTGCCTTCCAGATGACTGGGGCTACAACCCTTCAGTCTCAGCCAGCACCACTGAGTAGTCCAAATATTTAGAAGGTGCCAGGTTGGGAAAACGTGTACCAAAGATTTCGTACTACAAAAAATAAAAATAAAGAAATACTCCTGAAAATATCTACTTGACTTCTTCAGGAGTTGGTAATATGTAGCATATACATTTATATACGTTGTATGTTATTATTTTAAAGTTACATGGCTCCACCTTGTGGCCTAAAGAAAATAATATATATATTTGAGGCTCCCCCAAATGAAAGGGACTGAACACATAACAGAAGAGTGAATCCTCCCACACTGCTAATGATTCCCCCCCCCCCTTAAGCAGCATTTTCTTCATTCTATAGAAAATCATCAGGGAAGCTTTGATCAAAGCTCTGTGAGCAAGAGGAGAGCCCCACTCGAAGAAGCATCTCAGGCCCTAATCCGCAAGCCAAGGAAACACGTGAGTTGGGCAGCTGTGTGAGTTCAGTGCACCAGTGAGATAAGGCCAGGACAGACTATCCTCACCTCACCATTTCATGACCCAGGCTCCAAATAAAATTATCTCAATAAACAGCAATAACTGGTATGCTGGTAGATTGTCGGATGTATTGTACAGAATGTCCCTGATGGATAGAGGTTGTGGGCATGTGCTTAGTGAACCAAAGGAAGCTGCCTTATACTGAGTCATACCATTGGCCACCTAGCTCAGTATTGTCTACAATGACAGGCTGTGGCTCTCCAAGCTTTCATTCAGGTAAGCTTTGTCCTAGCCCCACCTAAGAACATAAGACGAGTCCTGCTGGATTGGACCAATGGCCCATCTAGTCCATTATCCTGTTCTCTCAGTGGTCAACCAGGTGCTTGAGGAGAAATATGCAAGCAGGACCTGAACACAAGAGTCCTCTCCCCTGTGGTTTTCAATAACTGGTATTCAGAAGCACATGGAGATACAGCAAGCTGATCCCCCAAGGCCTTTTTGGTGGCCCCCAGCAACATTTGACAACCCCAGCCCAGTCCTCAAGCAGAGCCGTCTTTCCCATTGGTCTTAGTGGTTCGTTGCGCCAAGGCGCCGGCCTCTCAGTGGGGGAGATGTGCAGCTTTGCCGGCATCCTCCCCGTTCCCTGCACACCCGCCAGCTGCGCCCCACCAACTGGTGGGCTGGTGGGCGTGCAGCTTCCCTCCCAAGCCTCTGCAGGAGGACAACGATCCCCACAGAGGCTTAGGATCCCAAG